CCTTCGCTGCCGCGCCGCACTCTAGGAGACGTGTCACGCGCCTCGGTCCCCGCCAGTCGTTCTTCCGCCCTCTCGCGCCGCGAAGGACCATCACCTCTGCGCCGGCCGTGTGGGTATCGCCGGTAGGTAAAGTATGCCTTTGGCGGCCACTGCCCCGCCGCGCCGCCCAGCTCCGCCACCCGCGCACGCGTCGCCTCATTAACTGGAAACTCAACACCCGTTCCAGGCGCGCGCTGTGGGATGGCCCACAGCCACCACCGCGGGCCGAGCACCTGCTGCACGTTGCGCAGGCGGCTGCCGAGATTGTACGGATACGCCGGCACGTCCTCTGCTGCTAGTTTGCCTGCATGCACGAGGTCGGCGATTTTCTCGTTCTCGAAACTCTCGATCGTGGTAACGCCAGTGCTGGCATAATACAGCTGGTACCCACTGAGGATTCCAACCGTGAGTAGCAGCAGCGCGAGGACCACAAGATTTATGATCAGAAACACGACTTCGGGGCCTTCTGGCGGCGGCGTGTAGAAGTCCACTACTGGACGCGTCGGGTCGTAGCTTGCGTATGAAGCCTGCAGAAGATTCTGGTAATATGCGAGGTCCCAAACGCGGAGGCCCAGCAGACAGAGACAGTAAATCGCAGTGGCAGTGACGGACAACAGGAAGCGAAGAAAGTAGCCTTGATTCGCATGGCCAATGCAGTTGTTTAGGAATGGGCCTGCAGGAGGGAGGATAAGCAGATTTGAATGAATGAGTTCTCTGCAACATTATCCCGCTCCAGACACTCATTTCGGCCCACTTCGCTGACAATAGGCACATCATGTCACTTGCAAATAGGTTTCTTTGCTGCATCTCTCTCAATGCCCGCCTCTCTCTCCCTTCCATTTCCCGCTCTCGCTATCAAAAACGCACAGTGGTGGTCCATCTTGAGAACGCATCGGTTGCACACACTACAGTGATGACTCCGAGGTGGCTTGAAGACACTGCAGGTCTTGCACCAACGAGGCTTCATTGAGCCTTTTGTTCGTTCGACAGGTGGTGGCTGATAGTCCAAAGGCACTTTGCCAGCATCCGTCACTATGCCGAGGTAGTAATTGAGAAGAATAGAAGCGACGCCGAGGTTGAACGGTCCCAGATACAGCCAAAGCGGACGATTTAAGTGGAAGGAGAGCCATGGCACAAATATGAAGTACTGTAAGTTAAGGATCTTTAGTAAGGCCTCCGGACGTTAGCGACGGCAAGTCGGCCGGCTACCTGGGTGGTTACGGGAACCCAGGTAATAAGACAAAGGACTCCGACCACAAAAACGCGGCCCCAAAATGGATGGCGGGCGGACGGCGGGCATAGAGGGTCCGAAGACGACATCTTCAAAGGGGATGTTGGCGAAGTTCTTTGGAAGTGACGGAGTTTGTTCCACCACTTCCACAAATCGTCACAAGGCCTGAGCGCCTCAACACTTTGCTCTGAGAACCGACATGACTCTGCCTACGTTGCCACCACCATCGTCTCTTCCTGTCCCGAATCTCCCAATCGTATACGTTTCTTCCGGTCGCGGCTATGTGTGGGACGCCGACAGTATGTTTCTTTCTGTTTCTTACACACCGAGGCCTCGCCACTGAACTTTTAAGGCCACACATGGGGTGAAGGACAGCTGTTCTATTGTTGAGAACTCGCTACCATATCCTCGGCGCACTGATCGGCACGCTGCCTCGCCTTCCGCTGCAAAACACCTTTTTCTCGCTGCCACTGCAGCTGATGGATGAGGAGGTGACCCTTTTGTTGCAGAGAGGTGGGCCAACATTTGTGCGCAACGATTGCAACTCCTCTCTCAGCAACGAGCTGATTGGAAAAATCGTGCAGGACTGATCAGCGTCGTCGATTCGCCCAGTGCTCACCGTAAGCCGAGTGAAGAGGAATTGGCGGATTTCGAGACGACTAGGGCGTCCGCTGCACAGGCGTACGAGGAAGCAAGGCGGCGCACAGTTGCGGAGAACCAGGCTGAGAGAAGGAACATGATCACTGCAGGAAATAACGCAGAGCAAGGCGTTATAGAAACCGAAATTGAGCTCATCACGGGGTCGATTAGTCCTCCCTGTCATGCTCCGCATCACCCGGAAGGCCGAGCTGGGACTGAGGAGCTCTCTAGACACGAGCAGCATTCTTTGCGGCCACGTCTAACTGCTCCTGTGTCAATTCCGGCATCATCGCGCGGTGTTGCGTGGTTTGCCAATGGCCCGCGATTAGCCTATCAACAAGCCATTGATGCAGGGATCTGGCATCCGTCAGAGACCGAAGTTGGAATCTTACGATACAAAGTGTTCAGCGCTTTGTGGGAGAAAGGCTATTACATTGGTCCTGGAAGCAAATTTGGCGGGGACTTTGTGCTCTATCCAGGTAGGTCGTCTTGCTCATTGGGCCTCGGCTTGATTGCTAGCGCGGTCTCATGTTCATATGCTGGAGTTGACGCGATATCTTGCAGGTGACATGCTGCGGTATCACTCGCAGTTCGTTGTTTCAGTTGTTCCAGTCGACAAGATGCACTCCCCGCTGGACGCAGTCATGTTTGGCCGTCTGGGAACCGCCGTCAAAAAGTCGCATGCAATGTGCTCCTGGGACAATGAAAAGGACGAGTTGCTGTGTTATTGCATCCAATGGACATCATGGAACTGAGGAACGAGAACGCATGCACGTCACTGTGAACGCGTTCAGGCCTGCTAAACTATTCGCCAATACACAAGCATTGCAACAACAGCGGTCCATCGAAAAACGGCCCTGAGCGGGCGCTGTTTAAAAATGCAATTGCGTCCCAGATCCACAAAAGTGCTGTTACCCTCCACCCGCGCGTTCCAACGCTTTGAAATGCGCGCTGCTGTTGAACTCGGAGTATAGGGTGAACATCACATGCAGTGCTTCGACCACATGTGTCGACGCCGCAGTCGCCGCGGGTACTGCTTTGCCGCCAGCCGGTGGCGGCTTCTTGTTGCCGGCTGACGATGGTGGAGGTGCAGGGCCGGACACGGGGATGTCGAGGAGGAGGGAGAGCAGCTGGGCGTACTGCGGGAGCGGGGTGTCGAGCTCCGCTGTTGGAAGCGTTACCTGATTGAGGGAAATAGAACAATTTATACGACGACCTCTGTCAGAGAGCAACCGGCGTCTTTTTTTCGTGCTCCGCTTTCTTACCTGTCCAACTCCCTCCTCAAACTCGGGCGGCCACACCTGCATGAGCTCCTCGATATCCGGCATCCGCTTTGTATACCGCACTGTCTGCTCGGGCTTTTGTGCATGCAGGTCGCGGATGTTTTTAATCCACGCGTCGACGAGTTTAGGCAGCTGCGCGGCGGTCGTTGTCTCTGGCAAGGCGCGCACGGCCAACGGCGCTGCAGCGCCTTGTGTGGATTTACTTAGCGCCCGGAGTCGTAGGTCTAGCACAGTCGGATCCGATTGCGGCAGAGACGGCTCGTCGAGATTTGTGAGGCCGAGGTGGTCTGGGATTTTGTCTGGCCGCGGGATCTGGGAGTATAGAATGTTTCGAGTCAGTTATAGAGAAAAATCTGAATGTGACCTTCTTCGTTATAGCAATGTCCACCTTTATGAAGGCATCGATGTCACCTATGGCGGGAACATAGTCCGGGATGAACGCCTTGAGCTCGGTCTCTAGCTCGGTTTCCTGCGGCTTATACCGGCCAATATAGCTAAAGAGTTCTGTCAGCTCCTCATCGCCATCGATGGTGCCACTGGTGAAAGGAGCGCGGAATGTTAGTTTCTCAGTTCAGAACGGGATGGCAACCCAAGTCATCATTTCCATGACTTGCGTTTGCGGATCCCCGTATGCCAGGCCAGCTGCCGGATCAAAGCCTCGCCCATCATCGTCGTCGTCACGATCCTCGTCATCATCAGCCTCGTCGTCAAACCGGTCGCCTAGTATTGTAGCTGGATCCGGCGGCGGCATGGGCGAGGAACTGATACCGAGGGCGCCGCGACCCGCTGGGGCTGCAGATGGCCGGCCTGTGTGACTTTTCCGCACCTGCATTGGTAAAATAGCCGATTGTCAAAATTGACAGTCAACATCTTGGAGAAAGCTTTCCAAAGTCTTACGGGAACGCGCTCTTCTTCCTCTTCCCCTTCTGGATCAGACTCGCTCTGTGACTCGTCATAGTCGTCATCTGACGCGGAGAGGTTGGCCGACGGCGGGCTGTCTCCTCCGCGGCCACGAGGGTTTTTCGAATCTGCTTCTATATCCCCGCCAGAAATGAGTGCACTTGTCTCGCCGACCGAAAGCGTTGACAAATGGAAGGGGCAGTGTGTGATTACCCATAGGTTGGTTTGCGCGGCCCTCGACTTCCACGGCCTCTTCCTCCTCCTCAGTCCTGGCGTCCGTTGGTGTTGAGAACTCGTCTAGTTCAGAGCCACTCAGTTCAATTATCTCGTCGTAGTAGTTGTTGGAGACTGCTGTTATGCGGAGCTGGAAAGCGGGTGAGTGTTACTACGGCATTGATTGTGTCAGGTCGGGGCTCGCCGTTTGTGTACGTGCTGCGCGGTCATACCTCGGTGGAGTGATTGAAAGAGTCTCCACCAACGTGGGACATAACCGAAGATGCTTAGGTAGAGCGCAAGGGTGGCAACTGCCAACAGCCGTATCAGAGTGTGTTTGTACAGAAACGAAGCCGGATGATCGCTTGTCGCGTGAAGAAGTGAATGGGTTTGGTTGACGGGAAAGCTGCCAGATCAGGTTACGCGTAGACCTGTTCCCACACGGCCAGCAGCTGTCAGAACCACATACACACACATATCATTCTTTTGGTCAAGCCAAGCCCATCGTACTATTACTTTGCTGGGTCGACGGAAATTTTAGTTGCTTGTCGGGATGAAGGTCTTCTTCCGTACAGTTGTCCTCAGTGAGCCTGTCACGTATATTCCAGAGATTCCAATTCCTACGACGTCTAACACACTTTCACTCTCCGCTTGACGGAAACGCCGACAAAAGCTAAAATGAAGGCAAAAGATGATGCACGCGATGGGATTCGAACCCACGCATCTTTCGATATCAGATCTTGAGACTGACGCCTTAGACCAACTCGGCCACACGTGCTTGGTTGAAAGTCGACAAGACTGTATAGTCTTGTTCATACACTATTTGCAACATTTACCCTCGCCTGCATAAGGCAGAGTCCGGATGGGCCATGACTGCAGTGCTGTGGGGATATATTCTTATGTCTTGGTGAGCATTTTGGTAAAGGCGCAAATTTTTCTGTGGTCAAGTCCTGGGCAAAAGCTTGAGTAGACGCGTCGCCGGGCTTGTCAACGTCTGCTTCCCCCAGCCTGCATTTGACCCAGACACAACCGACGCTCTTACTCCCACGCAAATATGGAACCAGCCACCCGACTCAAGCCCGGAGAGGTCAATCTCGGAGTACGTAGTCTCCTCTGGTGTATTGGCTGGCTGTTGGTTGCACTCTTGCTACGTCTCCTCGGGCCGGACGCTTCTCCTGATGTGCACGGGAATCCCCAGATCCTGCGCGTGGGAGCAACCGTGCCCCCTTGCGGGTGGGCTGGCGGCGCTTGCAATTGAGAGAAGGCGCACGCCGGACCGGACGGTGGTGGCCGCAGACGCTGTCCGGCCAGGAGGTGGACGCGGAAGGGATGTCTGGCACGTAGTCGGAATGCTCACCTCTGTCTTCTTCCCTTCAACGATGGCAGACAACGATTATGGCCGTGCAATATGCTGACGGAGTCATCATTGGTGCTGACTCGCGGACCACCACTGGCTCGTATATTGGTGGGTTTTGTTTGCCCGCGCGGCATTTGGGAGCGAAGACGCGCGCCATTCAGACGTGCCAGGCACTGGCCCTTCGCTGACTCGGCTCCATCCTTACGATATTCACAGCAAACAGAGTGACGGACAAATTGACAAAGGTGCATGACTTGGTCTTCTGCTGCCGCAGTGGAAGCGCTGCCGATACACAGGCCGTGGCAGACATGGTTCACTACTACCTCCAGCTCTACGCGTAAGGAACTGAGCAAGGAGCTCTTGCGGATTTTTCCATGCTTTTAAAAGAGATCTTTGGCTAACGAGATCCTTCTGCGACCGCTTATAGCGTCCAAGAGGGTGAGCGCCCTCCCGTGAAGATTGCCGCAAACCTTTTCCGCGAGCTCTGCTATACCAACAAGGACGGCCTATCTGCCGGCATCATCGTTGCTGGATGGGACCAATACGAGGGTCCGTCCGTGTACACCATTCCACTCGGTGGCTCTATCCACAAGCAGCCTTTCTCTATCGGCGGTTCGGGCTCGACGTACATTTACGGTTACTGTGATGCTGCATACAAGGAGGGCATGACGAGGGACGAGGCGATCACATTTACCAAGAACTGTATGTGCTCCTAGCTGGAGTTTTGTTGGGGTGTTTCTCAGAGTAAGAATACTGATTCGTTGCCATTTTCTCGTCCTCGCACCTCTCTTCAGCCATTGCGCTGGCTATGTCGCGAGACGGCTCATCTGGAGGCGTCATTCGCCTCGCGATCATCGACAAGACGGGCGTGGAACGGATATTCGTACCCGGAAACCAGCTGCCCAGATTCTGGGAAGGCTAGATAGCGGACAAACCCAGTTAACTGTGCCATCCCACCCGCGCTTTCGTCCCTGCGGACGCGGGTCTCAATCGTTTCGTGTAAACAAATTGTGCAATTATGGAGAAATATTATCGGAACACCCCAGCACTTTGTATTGTGCTTCGAGAAAGGGGAGCTGACAGAATGATTGGTCACGCTCTGGCTGGTGTCCCACTCCACATTTACCTGTACGACTGCCGTGCGCTTAGGGGCGAGTCTGCCTCGCGGTCGTCCTCCTCTTCGCGAGTGCTGCGCCGCCCAAAGCGTGGGCCGCTTCCAACCGGCGGTCCGCCTTGCACGACCTTTGTCAGCTCAATATTCGCACCGCCGACATGAAGCGTGCTTAAAAAGAGGGAAGACCGAATTTAATGTTGGCAAAAAATGCATGTAATCGGGTGAGCTTGGTTAAAAACATATCGGTCAAACTCACCCAACGTAACCGCCCGCCTCGATTTTGATGTAATATGCAAAAAGGCACAGGGCGTGGAAGACATTGTTGCGGCCCTAATAGTGGCGGTGAAAATATTGATGTGAGAAGGGCAGCCACGACGTTACCAACAATTAAACTAGCCCTGTACCGAATAAAGGTCGTAAATCTTCCCCTCGATGACCGTATGGTAGTGCGGTGGCCATTTGGTATAATGGCGAAGCTGCACGCTGCGAAGGACGTCTGTTCAAGTCACGAAGGCATAAGCAATCATTCGCCAAAAAAACAAAGCCCGAGTGGCACCGGAAAAACAGTCATAGACGGAAAAACGTACCCGGCTTCCTGCCAGCAGGTACAACATGCTTGGCGCTAAACGGGAAGCTGCCGAAAGTTGCTGCTTTATCGCCGCCGGGCATCCGCTCATCCAAAAAGCGGCAGAACAGGTGCATGACCAGCTGTTAGGGACAGACAGGGTCGATGTCAGTAACCTATTGCAATTTAAAATTTTCAATACTTCGCTGTCTTTTACCTGTGCGTCCGTGGGGAATTGGTCCGATGTCCACGGTACCCCGGCCCAATCAGAGCCGCCATTCCATCGAAAGTTAACCAGGTTGTTACCCGTAGCCAAAGCTATGATTGTTGCGGAGCCATCGATTAGAATTCCGTGGCAAAGCAAAAGAACGCGCTGACTCACTTACTTTTAATTCTCTGAACAATGTATTCCCGACATGCGTAGTCGGGGATCGTTAGGTAATTTTCCAGCTTTATGCGTTCTTGAGCCCATGGCAACTACAAAATGCGCCAAAGATTAGTATCTCGTTGCCGATGTTATCTGTTAACAAGGAAGAGATAGTTCCAGCGCTCACGTTTTTGAAATTTTGGCCAAGCTCATAGAGGCTTTGCGGCTTCTGCGGCGGCGCGGGCGCCAGTGTAGATTTGAATGCCAATGACGGAGTCGCAAGCGGTCGACCAAATGCGGACGCTAAGGGGACCAGCGCACATCAATTAAAAATTTCAGGCGACAAACTTAGCACGTTGCATCTGATGAACGGTGCTACACTTACCGCCTAAAGAGTTCGCGGGCGCCGGTGCCGGTGTTTGAGCAACCGCAGCAAGCTGAGGCGGGATGGGAGTGTGATCTATGGTTGAGGCTGCGCAGCAGAGGTGTCCAATGCCGTTTTCTTTGAAGAACGCATCTGATTTTGCGATCCGCTCGGCAAGTGGCTTCCCAACCTTGTTTGCCACCCACTACACAAAGGGACTTTCGGTTAAGACCTGCTGCCTGAAACATCGGAACGCCTCCCTTTAAACTTACCGCGCGCATGTTGTCACTCCACTCGTCAATGTAATTCGTGATCCGCCACTCCTGATGCGTCTAAGCAGACACATAAACGAACGTGTGAGCTGGCGTGTTTGTCCAGCCCTATATAGAGAGAGCTCGTTGTACCTTTTCGGGATCTTTGATGACAAGACCGTCCTCCATACGCTCTTGCACTTTGATAGCGGTCGAAGGTTGGGATGCGCGTCCGAATTGGGGAACATCCGGACTGCGGGTGCCAAATGGCGAGGCCCATCCGAGGTCGTATCCAAAGTACTTAAAAGCGTCATCCTGGTCGGCGAGATCTAATTCATCGACAAGCTGGCTCCTGAGTCATATTTTCAGGCAAATACACATGTGTTGAGATTTTTGCATACCGTCATCCGGTTTTATTCGTTTGGAGCCTTTCATCATGGCATCGAGGGCGTGTTTGTCACGAATGGGCTCCTTGTGCATCGTGGCTAACAACGTAATGCAAGGTAAGCGTACACAAACAGGCGATTTCCTCCAACAGGCCCGCATTCTTTACCAGGCGAGGTGCTCAGCATGAACTTTGCCAGTGGCGAGACGGGTGCGGGACTGCTCTGCCATGTCTCCTCAACTGTCGGCGATCGATAAGGAGAACTCCTGAAAAGAGGCAATGTGAGATGAGCGTGGTAAAATCATGGAATCGGTCCACACTACTTACCGGGAGTACGATTCTTCCGCCGTTTCTCTACGAGTAGGCGTCTGCAACGAGAGGACCAGATTAGCAAAGCTCATGTCACCACAGCTCTTCATGAGTGCGAATGACTCACACTATATCCTGGTCTCGATCGTGAAGCAGATCCGGTGCCTCTGGTTGGAGTTCCCTTCGTGAGAACAGGGCGCTCAATGCCCTTGTATTTCTCTGGCCGCACAGGTGCTGCGAAAGAAGCAAAAGCGTGGTAGCAGATGAGTATGACCGCAGTGATGAGCTTATATGTCATCCAGCATAGGCGCTTACTTGAAGGGTCAAGACCAATCAAAGCCCTTTGCGTAGGCGTCAGAGCATAGTCACTGAAAGCTGGCACAGGCTTGAAGTACTTGATCGTCAAGTGCACTACATTCAATGCCATGACCGCTACAACGCCGATGTCTTAACGGTCCAAGAGGCTAATTAGGACCTTGCACAGTTATATCCAGCGTGCCTCGAGCAATTTCTTACAGGAGTAATGTAAGAGCTGCGTCCATAAAGGCGATGAAATCGCAAGCGAAAGGGTTCTGTGCGGTCAGATGACACGCAGTGCTTCATCAGAACCTTATAGTCGAATCTCGACGGAGGAGCGGGAATGCGATGGCCCTTACCGATACCACCCCGCAAAGTAAAATGCGACAAGAATCGCCAGGCCCCAGCAGTTCCAGGTTAGTTTCTCGGCATCAAAGTCATTGAATCCGCCCCGAGCGAGTTTTGATGCAACGTCGGAGAGCGCGGGGTGCTCCCAACGCAGCGGTGTGCCCGGCGCTCCACTTGTCCGATTCGGACTCGGTGGCTCCGCCGCCATGGCCGCCGCGGATCGCTCTGACCCAGAGTGCAATGACGGCGTAACCCTCACTGGCGTTTCTTTCCGCGGAGTGGTCACCGAGCGACGAGGAGTCAGGTTTTCCAACGAGGAATTTGGGGTCCGGTCGCCCGCAACCCCGTTGGACATTCGACCCCAAGACGGAGATGGCGAGCCGGACGGCGATTCTCGGAAGCGATCTTGGCGGCGTTTGGC